TTACTTGTCCACTATTTAGTTAGTGATTTCTCCTCCGCACCCCTTCACTGTACTCGTAACCATCAAAGATTGTTTTTTTTCTGTGTGTAAACCTTTTCTTGGGTTTTTATAATAGTGGTCCCATACAATATTTGTCCTTTTGTGAGTGATTTATTTCACTCAGGATAATGCCCTCCAGATTCTTCCATGTTGTGAGATGTCCTGTGGATTCATCATTGTTCTTTATCGTTGTGTAGTATTCCATCTTGTTTATGTACCATAATTTATTTATCCATTCCTCTGTGGATGGGCACTTTTAAGTTGCTGTTGTGAATAATGCTGCAGTGAACATGGGTGTGCATATGTCTATTTGTGTGACGGCTCTTATCTCCTTAGGATATATTCCTAGGAGTGGTATTGCTGGATCTTACAGTATTTCCATTTCTAGCTTTTTAAGGAGGCACCATATTATTTTCCATAGTGGTTGTACCATTTTACATTCCCACCAGTAGTGCATAAGAGTCTTCCAGTCTTCTCCCCTCAGTCTCTCCAACATTTGTTATTTTCTGTTTTTTTTTTTTTATTTGTGTCAGTAATGTTGGGGTGAGATGATTTCTCCTTGTAGTTTTGATTTGCATTTCTCTGATGGCTAATGATTGTGAACATTTCCTTATGTGTCCATTAGCCACCTCAGTGTCTTCATTGGTGAAGTGTCTGTTCATTTCTTTTGCCCATTTTTTAATTGGATTATTTGTTTTTTTGCTGTTGAGGTGTTGAAGTATTCTGTAGATTTTAGGGGTTAGACCCTTGTCGGATATGTCATAGCCAAAATTTTTTTCCCAGTCTTTAAGTTCTCTTTTTACTCTTTTGGTGAAGTCTTTTGATGAGCATAAGTGTTTAGTTTGTAGGAGGTCCCAGTTACCTAGTTTATCTTCTCGTGTTTATGAATTGTTAGTTGTGGTTTGTATTGTATTTGTGCTATGTATTAGGGCTCCTAGCATTGTCTCTATTTTTTCTTCCATGATCTTCATTGTTTTAGGTTTTGATCCATTTTGAGTTAGGTTTTGTGTATGATGTGAGGTGTGGATCCTGTTTCATTTTTTTCACAGGTGGACCTCCAGTTTTTCCAGTACATTTGTTAAAGGGACTGTCTTTTCCCCATTTAATGGTCTTTGTTCCTTTGTCAAAGATCAACTGACCATAGGTGGGTGGATTTACATCTGGGTTCTAAATTCTGTTCCATTGGTGTATGTGTCTGTCATTGTATCAGTATCAGGCTGTTTTGACTACCGTGGGTGTATAACAGGTTCTAAGATCAGGTTTTGTGAGGCCTCCTACTTAGTTGTTTTTCTTCAGTAATGCTTTGCTTATCTGAGGCCTCTTTCCGTATAAAGTTGGTGGTTAGTTTTTCCATCTCATTAAAGAATGCTGTTGGTATTTGGATTGGGATTGCATTATATCTGTAAATCACTTTGGATAGGATTGATATTTTCCCAGTGTTGAATCTTCCTATCCATGAGCATGTTTTTCCATTTATGTAGGTCTCTCTTGATTTCTTGCAATAGTGTTTTGTAGTTTTCTTTGTATAGATCTTTTACGTCTATGGTTAGCTTTATTCTTAAGTATTTTATCTTTTCAGGGGTCATTATAAATGGCATCGTTTTCCTGATTTTCTTTTTGAAGTTCTGATTTTTGTATGTTTGTGTTGTATTCTGCTGCTCTGCTTAATCTTTCTATTAGTTCCAGTAGTTTTCTTGTGGAATCTTTGAGGTTCTCTATGTGTAGGATAACATCGTCTGCAATAGGGATAGTTTTACTTCGTTCTTTCCAATTTGGATGGCTTTATTTCTTTTTCTTGCCTTATTGCTCTAGCTAGGACTTCCAGCAAAATGTTAAACTGGAGTGGTGATAAAGGGCATCCTTGTCTTGTTTCCATTCTCAGGGGGAGTGCTTTCATTCTCTCTCTATTGAGAATGGTGTTGGCCGTTGGTTTTGTATAGATGCCCTTGTTGTTGTTGTTGTTGTTGTTTTTTAAAGATTAAAACACTTTGCATTCTTTGTATTGAGTCAAGTTCTACAAGACTTCTGTTGAATTATGTGAAGGTGGAATTAACCCCTACTCCGTGGAAGACATCAGGATTAAACATATGTAAGAGAATGTACAGAGAAGTAGATCTAGGAATGGAATCCCAGTTTTGAGACTCCTTCATGGGTGCCAATCACTTAACGAGACTAAGAAGTCTCATACCTTTCTTTCATTTACAGTGTTTGGATATGGGTTTGATTAAACACCCCCATAGAGCAGTGTCATGGATTGAATTGTGTCCCCAAAAATATCTGTCAACTTGTCTAGGTCATGATTCCCAGTATTGTAGGATTGTCTACCATTTTATCTTCTGATGTGATTTCCCTATGTGTTGTAAATGCTGTCACTATCATGTAATAAGATGGATTAGTGGCAGTTATATTGATGAGGTCTACAAGATTGGGTAGTGTCTTAAGCCAGTCTCTTTTGAGATATAAAAGAGAGAAGTGAGTAGAGAGATATGGGGACCTCATACCACCAAGAAAGCAACACCGGGAGCAGAGCGCATCCCTTGGATCTGAGATTCCTGTGCAGAGAAGCTTCCAGACCAAGGGAAGACTGATGCATCACAAGGACCTTCCTCCAGAGCCAACAAAGAAAGCCTTCCCGTGGAGCTGATGCCCTGAATTTGGACTTGTAACCTACTAGACTGTGAGGGAATAAATTTCTCTTTGTTGAAGCTATCCGCTTGTGATATTTCTGTTATAGCAGCACTAGATAACTAAGACAAGTGGTATAGGTACTTCTTCTTTCAGATTACAGCCCTGTTAGGGTGTAGCCCTTAGCAGCTATATTAAAATGTGTCAGATTTACCTTAGTTGAATTTATCTTTTCCAGAAATTTGTTTTTCATTGGAGATCAAGATGGAGGGAATATCTGTCATCAAACAAACATAACTTGTTTACAGGGTCTTTTCTCTGCACTTGGTCAGGCACATTTTAGGACTATTCATTCGTTACAAGGAGTCTTTATGACCACTTACACGAAGAGTCTGCTAGATAGATAGCTAAATACTTTTCAGGGACTGCTGTATATAGATTTACAGGATGTTCAGTGTATAAAGGGATATGGCCAAATTTGAGTGGGAGCAGAAATCTGGCTGCCCTCTGCTTACAAAACTATTCCCTGTATGGGACTTACTAATTCAAGCTAAGGCATAGTAATGGGCTGGTAGATGTCCTGATACTTCTGTATTGTATGTAAAATATTTCCTTAATTGTCTGTCCCATGCTTGGAGACTTGAATTGTATTAGTTCATCCTTGCGACTTGATGTTTTCAAGACCATATACAGTTCATCAGTATGGGAGTTCCTGGGTGACAAAAATGGTTAAGCACTTGGCTATTAACTGAAAGGTTGGCAGTTGGAATGTACCCAGAGGTGCCTTGGAAGAAAGGCCTGGCTCTCTGCTTCTGAAAGGTCACAGCTATGAAAAGTCTATGGAGCACAGTTTTACTCTGAAGTGCTTGGGGTCACCATGAATCAGAATAGACTTGTTGGGAACTGGCTTTTTTTTTTTTTTTAAATGGGTAATGGTTGGTAGTAAGAGAGAGAAGGAAATCACACATGACCTCAAGTCATGGCTGAAGCAAAAGTGTACTTCCTTCTCTGTTACCCAGGTGTGTATTAACAGATTCACCAAGGTAGGTGTAGTAGGTCAGGTAGCCATTCCCCTTCCTTGTGGTTTACTTTGTTAGGCAGCTTCTGGATTGATGCACGTGGTCAGCTCCCTGATGTGGAGAGGAAAGGAGCCAAACCATCTTTGAAGCTGATTTGAATGAAGAACCCTGAGCCTTGTTCTACACCAATACTAGAATCACAGCCAGGCTGTTTTCCTTAGCCATTTTTTAGGCCAGTAATGACTGCTGTTCAGCAGTTGCCTAACTATTCTATTATAAACTTCATAAATTCTTGGTATAGTTGGGTAATTGTATTTTGGCAATGATAGTAAGGACAGTTTGCGTGGCATCTTAACATGAGTATTGAAAGAACTTCCACCTGATGTTCCACAAGCACTGTGTATCTACTCGGAGGAGGCAGCTACCTGCTTTGTGGCAGTTATAAAGATAAACCAAAAGCCAAACCAATTCCATCTCATAGCGACCCTACAGAACAGAGTAGGACTGCCCCATAGGGTTTCCAAGGAGTGACTGTTGGATTCCAACTGCCCACCTTTTGGTCAGCATCTGTAGCTCTTAACCACTGTGCCACCAGGGCTCTGCTATAAAGATAGTGGGATAAAAGCAGAAAGATAGAGTATGGAAATTGTCAACAGGTGAGAGAGCATAAATTTTGTCGGTAAGAACACGGACTTTAGCATCAGCGAGAACTGGGTCCTGACCCTGCTTCACCATTTATAAGATGTGTGCCTTGGGCAAGTTGGTTAAATTTTTCAATCTGTTTTCTCCTCTGTACAGTGAGACTAACAATAACTGATATTATGAGGTTTTGTGAGATTAAATGAGATGAGTTATATATGTCAGGTGCCTGCTGTAACTTTAATAAGAAGCTGGTATTATTGATAAGGGGAGATGATGTCCTGATACTGCCTTGTTTAATTTAATAAGGATCTTTGTCTTCTCTGAGATAGCAAGATATATTCTAGCAGGAAACTTAACAAGTCATAAAACTATTAGTTTTTGTTCTGTTTCTGTCTTTTCTTTCTTTCTTTGCTCTTTTTAACCTGTTTCCAGGTTACCCTAGCTGGAGAATTGCTATCACTTGTGTCTTTTGCTTTCTTTTTAGTATTTGTCAGTGTTTTTCAAGCTCTTTGCTTTTTTTATGGAGGTTATCGTTGGAACAAAAGAATTCATGATACGTTTTTCTTGCCGTTATCCACTCCCTTAATTCTTACGTAAAAGGATTTTCCTCGCTTTTAAAGTGTATACTCACATGTCCTCTTTCTGAACTCTGTCTTTTACATTGATCCTTACCAGTGAGAAGAGGGGATGTTCTGGCAGCGTGGAGTGGTATTCGCCCTCTTGTTACAGACCCCAAATCTGCAGATACGCAGTCAATCTCCCGAAATCACGTTGTTGATGTCAGTGACAGTGGCCTTATCACTATAGCAGGTATGGGATGATAAACCGTTATTTGAAATTGCTTTAGATACGGGCGTCAGTTAAATTGTCACACGCAAATCTGTTTTGACTCTAATGAGTAGAGATATTTTTTTCAATGATTTCTAAGACTTACACATTACTTTGCCTTATTTGTTATAAAAACAGATGGATTTTGTTATTAAGAAGTTTATACATGGTTAATTAAAAAAAGAATAAGAGGGGGATGACCTAATGAATTATTTATTAACTTATTTTTAGGTGGAAAGTGGACAACTTATCGATCCATGGCCGAAGATACTGTAGATGCTGCTGTCAAGGTTCACAGTTTGAAAGCAGGACCAAGCAGAACAGTTGGGCTTTTCCTCCAAGGGGGTAAAGACTGGAGCCCTACCCTCTACATTAGGCTTGTCCAGGATTATGGACTTGAAAGTGAGGTGGGTTTGCATTGCCACGTTGTCTTTTTTTTTTTTAACCTAATTTTATTATTGCTAACTTCAGAAGCAGCAGCTGTGAGGCCTCCCTGATAAGAGTTCCTTTTGCTGTGTATGTTTCTATCGGCATACTGTGGAATTGAACTAAAACAAAAAAAAGAGGGATGATCTTACTTCCTTTTAGTTGCCTAAAAAGCAATGTACATTTTAGTTTCTATTAGAAAACGTAGAGTTTAGTTGGTTTGTTTCTAACAACCATGCCAAATTCTTTCTGTCTCAAACCTAAGGCAGGTCATTCCTCAGACGTGATGTTGGGAGCAGAATGAAGCTGAAGCTTCATCAGTCATTGATAAGTGATACATGTGTAGTCGAGTTAGTGCTGGCCTAAGCATTTGAAGCCCTGGTGATTTCCTCCCATAAGATCAAAATCTAATGCCTTCTTAGAGCTGTTAGTTACAGGCTCTGAGAAAACTGACAAGATAAACATACACATTTTTTGCTTTGTGTCTAGAAGGTGTGGATATTCGAAGTACCTACCTAATGCAGTTTTATTTCCCTAGGTGGCACAACATCTTGCCGCCACGTATGGGGACAAGGCTTTTGAGGTGGCCAAAATGGCAAGTGTGACTGGAAAAAGGTGGCCCATTGTTGGAGTGCGTCTTGTGTCAGAATTTCCATATATTGAAGCTGAGGTATGTGAGTAGCCACGTGTCAGTTTCCTGTCTGTCAGGGGAAACCATTCATCTATTTCTTTTTCATCATCTTTAAAAATTATACATAGCTAAGGTTTAATGTACTTAAAACACGGAATGTCCAGAACAGATCTTTTTATTTACAAAATTTTAATTTTGAAGTACGTTTGATAGTAGCAATAATAATAATAATAGAAAATATGGATTTATTTCTCCTCTGTGAGTTTCCCCAAGTCTTATTAATTCACCGTTGTTTGTTCCTTGTTTGAACTTGTAGCCCTTCTTGTTTGTACCAACTCGTGTACTGCCTGATAACATATCTTGATTTGACACTTTTCAACAAGGTTTCAATTTGTGAAAACAGGGATCATGTTTTATATTCATTTATCATTCACTGTGGCTTAAAATAGGTCCCTAGGTAGCACAGTTAAGCGCTTGACTACTAACCTAACAGTTGGCAATTTGAACCCATTAGCAGCACTGCAGAAGAAAGACCTGGCAATCTGCTTCTGTAAAGATTACAGCCAAGAAAACTATGAAACAGTTCTACTCAGTAACACATGGGGTCGCCATGAGTCGGGATAGACTCCATGGCAATGAGTTTTATTTTGTTTTGCTGCTTTAAAAAAATGGGTGTCCGGTAAGCCTTTGTTTGTTGTTTGAATTCTGGTTACTCTAAGACAGAAAACTTTGTGTAGCCTAAGAGATGAGGCTATAACTTTTTTATAGTTGTCCTTTGCCTATTCCGCTATGTAAATTAGCATCTATATTATGTATAAGGAATGCCTGGGTGGTGCAAATGGTTAAGTGCTTGACTGCTGTATGAAAGGTTGGAGGTTGTATCCACCCAGAAGCACCTTGGAAGAAAAGCCTGGTGATCTCCTTCCAAAAAATCAGCCATTGAAAACCCTATGGAGCACGATTCTACTCTGACACACAATAGGTTGCCGTGAGTCAGTGTCAACTCAGTGGCAATTGGTTATTATGTGTAAGCAAAGAGGTAAGGGATTACTGTGGATGGCAATGAGAAGTGATGCAGTTTGCATGTTTACACCAGATTTTATTCAGAAAGAAAGCATTGACTGTTGTCCAGTTTATCCCATTTCCCAAGCATCCTTTGGCAGGTGGTTGGAGGACTTGTGTGCTGCCATTCTTTGTCTCATGCCTGCAGGATAACCAGAGAGTATAAAGAAAAAGTGCTGCCTTTCAGAAGCATGAATTCATTTTTTTTCAGTGAAACTTTATTTCCTGTTTTAAGAAAGGTCTTAAACTAATAATTTTCTTTAATTCCAATGCAGGTGAAATATGGGGTTAAGGAGTATGCCTGCACTGCTGTGGATATGATTTCGCGTCGCACTCGACTCGCCTTTCTAAATGTCCAGGCAGCAGAGGAAGCCCTGCCTAGGATTGTTGAACTGATGGGCAGAGAACTGAATTGGAGTGATCGTAAGAAAGAGGTATTGTAAAGAAGGTTTTAAAACCACAGTTCCCAATATAAGCATGTTAACCTATTAGTAGAGACTAGCATTCTGTTCTTTCCTTACTTTAAAAAATATGAAGTTCACATAACAGAAGATGAACAAAAGTGAAGTGAACAGTTCAGTGGCATTTAGTACATTTATCACCATCTCATTTTTTTTAAATGATTAACTTGTTTTACATCAGTTATTGAATCATCGGGTGACAGTTGCAAAAAATGATTTTAGAGTGCCAAGGAAGATTTTAGGAACACTTTGGAGCAACTTCATAGTTACTCCAGACATTCTTCTTAGCATTACCCCATCAGAACAATGTGTAATTAAGTTTGTTTTTTACTATTCATTATTAAAGCCGTGATAATTTAAGGTAAACAATAATGTATTGAAAACACATCCACTGATGCTGTCACCAGTTCTTTTATTTTTTAATTTTATTGTGGTAAAATACATATAACAAAAAGTTTGCCATGTAACCGTTTTTAAGTGTACAATTCAGTGATGTTAATTACATTCACAATGTTGTGCTACCATCACCACTATCCATTTTCAAATGTTTGTCATCACCGACCCCTGCGGCAAAAACTCCCCATTCCCCCTCCCCCACAGCCTTGGTAATCACTAGTAAACTTTTGTCTCTATGCATTGGCCTATTCTAGATATTTTGTATAAATGAGATCATACAATATTTGTCCTTTGTGCCTAATCTAGCATATTTTCAAGGTTCCTTCATGTAGCATGGGTCAGAAATTCATTTCCCTTTAAAGCTGAGTAATATTCCATTGTATGTATATACCACATTTTGTTTATCCATTCAGCTGTTGATGGACACTTGGATTGTTTCCACATTTTGGCTCTTGCGAGAACACTGGTATACATCTATCTGTGTAAGCCCCTGCTTTCAAGTCTCTTCCGTGTATACACCTAGGTTGGCCAGCATATTTTTTGATGATGGCCTTAGATTTCTTGCCAATTTCTGTGTATATGTATGTTTTTAATATTGCTAGGCCTTAGGAAAGTGGAAAAGATTCTTATATTTAATACCAAAGTTTAGTTGTTACTGAAAACATTCCTTACAGGAAAGTACTCTCAAATTCATGGTTATAATGCATGAAAAAAAAAGATAATGTTGATTGTGGGTAGAATGTTTTTTGGTTTTCATTGAAAGCACTCTCAGGATGTAGTCTACGGTGAGATTCACCTTCCTGCTCATTTGCCTTTGGTAGGAAATAGTGGTTCACTGCCTGATCACCAAGTGCCCATTCAGTTGTGTCATTTTAGATTTTATATCGATAGCTAATCAAAGAGAAAGCCAAGTGATGTTCAAATACTTATATATACAGGCCTGGTCTTGTTGTAATAAATTGAGGATCTTCATGTTTTTTAATTAAGCCAAATATAGATACATGGAGAGGCTTAAGAAGCATTTCATACATTCTTTCAAAAATTACTGTCCATACTCATTGGGTTCAATTCCTTTCTCCCTAGTCTTCCCTGAAGCCATTCTAGTTGGGTTTTCTCGAAACCAATTTGCTGTAGTAGATCCTATCAAGCTCACCAATAACCTCTACCATTGCTCAATTTAACTGTCAGTCTTCATTTTACTCAGCCAGTTAACAACACTTGATACGGTTGGTTCCTCCTTCCTTCTTGAGTGACTTTCTTACTTTCTGGAAGACCACCTCTCTTGAGTCTTTCCTACCTTCTGTCACTGTCACTCCTGCAAACGTCTCTGTGTCATAAATAGCAGTTCCACCCTTTGGTTGCTCAAGCCTAAACCTTAGTATCTTACTTGATACACACTTTATATCTAAATTTATCGGCAAACTGTATCATATTTATTTTCAAATAATAGTTTGAATCAACCCTTTCTTAGCACTTTTAGTTACTATCACCCTGATGGAGGCTACCATCATGTCTCACATAGAGTATTATACTCAATTCCCTCTCCCTAACCAGCATCCCTGTTTTAGCAACTTCAGTGATTCTATCACAGCATATGTGAGATCATTGGACATGTCAGTCTGAAATTCAGAGGGGAGGTCTAGACTGAAGTTATAAACTTGAGAGTTGATAGTTAAGCCATCAGACAGGATGAGATCATGTAGGGAGTTAGTGTGGTTAGATAACGAAAGTGGTCCAAAGGCTGAGCCCTAGTCACTCCAAAGTCTAGAAGTTGGGGAGATAAGAACAATTAAGGAGAATGAGAAAGTAATAGCTTGTGAGGTTGGAGGAGGGGAAGAAGACTCAAGAGGGAGTAGTGTCTCAGAAGATAAAGAAGAAAGTATTTCAAGAAGGAAGTGACTGTCATATCATATGCTACTGATAGGTTTAGTAAGATGAGGACTGATAATTCACAACTCTTCTGCTAAAAAACCCTCTTTTTCACTCAAAATAAAGCCAGAGTCATCATGGTGGTTGTAATGCCCTCCATGATGTGGCCCCTCACCACCTCTCTAACCTCACCCCTTCCTCCTTCCCTTTCATTCATTCCTCTCCAACTCACAAGTTGAGTCATTTTTCCTTATTTAAGCCCTGCTGATCCCTGTGCCAGGGGCCCTGGTGGCATAGTGGTTAAGAGCTATGGCTGCTAACCAAACAGTTAGCAGAAAAATTTTCTTTAGTGCATAATAATTTGCGACCTTTAAAATGCTTATGTGCAATGTCATTTTCCAAGAGGATTGTATAGTGGGAATTTATTTGGAGACAGAAACAAACTCTCATTTTGTGGTGGAGGGTTTAGAGTAACTGCTCCTTAAGACCAAAATCCCTCCAACTCTGAATCTACCAGCTGCTCCTTGGAAACCCCATGGGGCAGCTCTACCCTGTCCTATAGGGTCACTATGAGTTGGAATCAACTCGATGGCAAGGGATTTTGGTTTTGGATCCCTCTGCCTGGAACGTTTTTCCCTTGATAATCCTCATGGCTACTTTCTCACTTCCTACTAGTCTCTGCTTCAGGGATACTATCCTTATCTAGCTGTATAAAAGAGTAACCCCGCCATCTGAATGGCATTTTCTGTCCCTTTCCTTGCTTTATTTTTCTCCATGGCATCTATAACCACTGACATACTATATATTTACTTGTTTAATTATTTATTGTCTGCCTCTCCTCCCAGGTGTCTAGTAATTTTAATGTAAAGGATATAGATGGTGATAATCACTGATCAAAAGGAGTTCCTTTATCCTGACCACAACTCTGTCAAGGATTAATTTTACCTGCATTTTATAGTTGAGGAAACAGGCTTGGAGAAGAAGTACCTGTTGGCATTCACATAACTGGTAAATTGGCCCCAGTAAACTGTGACTGAATTTAGATAGTCTGGTCCCAGAGCATACACATTCTCCACCTTTCCTTGTTACCTCTGCCTTAGCAGTGCTGGTTTGTAGTTCTTCCACATTCGGCTTTTGGCTTAATCAGCTAAAGCTATATACAGACATAACACAAGAATAAAACTTACTCCTGTGCTACTGCCAATTATTTTTCCCATATAAAGGATTGTGGATTCTGTGTTCCTCTAAAAATTATGGTTGGAATGATTTGAATATGCAGGAACATATTTTGTGCCAGGAATTTAGGCTGTGGGAGGTAGTAAGGAGGGAGAAAATTCTGTAAACTGGTTGTATTCAGCCCTCCTGGGGAAACTAGATTTAACTTCAATTCAAATTTTATAAACAGATTTATGTGCTAGGGTTCTTCTCCCATTCTCTTCCACAAAGTAAAAGAAATAAAAGGCCTACAGTTATTACTCAGTATCTGAGACATAGGAGTATTAATGAGAACTGTGGACAGTCTAGAGAGAACAAAGGAGAGGGAGAGAAAAAAAATTAAAAGGTTAGAAAGTTGAACTTCTGAGATAAGATTAAAAGCATTGGGATTAGTTAACCTGCAAAAGTGAAAGAGGAACGAGGTGATAAATAAACTCTGTGTAGATGAATTGTGGTTGTTTTAGCAGTCAGTGCTTAATGAGTGACTTGTATACTGAGCATCGTGCCATATATTTTCGGAGTATAATAAACAACTCATCGTTTCAAGAATCTTGAAATCTGATGGGGTTATAATACCTACATACCTCACAGAAATGTGTATATTTTCTAAAATTTAGAGAGAAGGGTTTAGAGTAACTGCTACTTAAGACTGAAATCTAACCAGCTCTGAAGAACTGATTGGGGTGGAAGGCAATATCTGGAGGAGTTGGGGATTGACGGAGGAGTTGTGGGGCATTTAGAGAAAATAACATTGCCAAGTTGTGTTCCATAGGCTATTAATTAATGTAAGTGAAAAGCTAACTCCATGGTCAAAAGAGTTTGGGAAATTCTGAGTTAAACAAATGAAAATTTTTCTTTAGTGCATAGTGATTTGGGGCTTTTAAATGCTTATGTGCAATGTCAGTTTCCAATAGGATTATATAGGGGGAGCTTATTTGGAGACAGAAACAAACTTTCCCTGTTTGTGGGGAAGGGGGACTAATATCACGACATATTTTGGGAAATCCTGCCATAGGTTGGGGTAACATTCAGAGAAAAGGTAAATTTCACTGAGAGACTTTAGAGAGAAGACCAGTCAAAATAGATTGAGAGAGTCTCACAAAAAGACATTGCTTAAGAATTGATTCCAATGAAGAGGAAAAAGAGGAAGCAAGTGAAGAAATGCGGTGACTTTGGACAAAGCAAGCTGATAAACACCACAATTTAAACTGTTGGAAGATAAGTGCTTAACAGTGAAAGGAGACCTAGGGATAATATGGATGTATGTGAATAGCATCCAGCATTGGCTGAGTGTTGCAAAAGTAAAAAAGAAAAAAGCTAAGGACACCAGAAAGAACTTCTAAAATTTAAAAGGAATGCAAGTAAAGCCTAACTTGCTCATTGCTTAAGGTACCAGGCATACTATTACTGAATGCTGGAGAAAAAAGAGAACTGCTCAACTCATAGTTTAATACATTTTTTGTTTAGTCAAGGGGAATGTTTCTCCATGAGGA